CCATTACCATGCGAAGCAAAATGCATCAGATGCTCCAATGACAAGCTCATCTGGTTGCTGGTCTGTTCTTCAGTGAGTGAATGTGGCACCCACTGTGCACACATCTTCCTGAAATGCAATGTTTCATGCACAACACTGTGCACAGTACTGATACTTAGATCTACTGCAGTTGCAATGTCATGGACCGTTATTCGTCTTTTTGCTAACACCAAGTTTTCCACCATTTGCACATTCTGCGGTGTGGCTGCATGCTGCAGATGTCCCAGTTATTGGTCGTCCTTCGTGCTTGAACATCCTTTCTGAAATTTTTTGGCCCATATCTTCACCTGGGCAAGGCTTAGAGTGTATAGACCATATACCTGATGCATTCGCTAATAAATTGCAGTGGATCCGCAATCTTCTGCAACAAGGAACCTGATTACTCCACATTGTTCAACTTTGGAGGCTTCCATTGTTTAAGAAAATCACTTGAACAAATGACTGAGGCTATGGATGTTTGCCTTATATGGGAGTGTCATTTTAGTGCACTCTGCATTCGCATGCAAATTTTCTGCTTAGAAACTGCGCTCATTGGCTGGTTATTTATTGAGCACCCCTTATAACAGCCAGGAAAGTAAAAATAATTAGCCAATTGATATATTTACATTGAAAAATTATCAAAGAATTTACTTCGTTTATTTACTTAGTTATAATGAATAAAATTTCAATACATGATTAGAAAATGCTGCCCTTTTGAAAGTGTTGCCTGAGGTAACTGCCTCCTCATCTTACCTCACATGCTGGCCCCGGAACTGAGATAATAGTTTGATTTAGTCCTTTATTGTCAGATCAAGCATCATGAAAAACTTTTTTAAAAATCAAAGAAAACCAGCAATCTGAGATTTTGGAACATTCTAATGTATTTGGAATGTTATGAAAGTATTAAAAATTAAAATTATGGCAAAAGTGAATGTCTATATCTTAGAACTGTAAAATTTTTGAGCTTTTAGAAAATCAACAGCAGTAACACAAACAACAAAATTTTTATGTAGTTTTAATTTTTGATTTGGCAATTAGATTTAATTTTGAAAATGTTTACCATGTTATATTTTTAAAGATTTTTTTAAAATTAAGGAATCAATATTTAATTTTATTACATAAAGGAGGAATCAAGAGAGATGTTTCAGACTATGATTTAAATAAATAAAAATATGATTTACATCATCACTAGCTTACATTTACTAATTATGAATTCATGATATTCAGATAGTTTAAAATGTAGAATGATATAAATATACAATGAAAAATATTAATGTAAGCACAAGATTATCAGACACACTAGGATTAGCATATATGTAAAAAATGAATTACCTTTGGTAATAAACTGGTAAAAAATGTTTAATTCAAGTAATTTTGTTAATTACCAAATAACATAACATAGAATGTTTTGAATATTATAGGAGCTAATTCTTATATTTTTGATTTTATTTCTTTCTTTTTATCTTAAAACTATATATTATTTAATTAATTCAATTATTAATTAAAACATATTAATTCATAAAAATTATTGTAGAAAGTTTTATATTAAATTAAATAGTTTTTGTATTTTAGGAATTATGTAAAATATTTGATTGTCCTATGATAAGATTTACAAAAGTTCTCTCAAGGTAATTGTTTTAAAAGATCATTATTCACTTTGAATTATTTAAATGATGTAATATGATTTAAATCTGTGTATTAAATCATTTAATTGAGAGAAACAACTTATTCATAGAAAAGAAAAGAAATATTCATAAACCATTCAAACAAGAAATAATTACTGTCTATTGATGTTAAACAGTTTTTATCGTCAACACAAGCACACTCAACATTTTTATCAATGTCATCTTCAGGTGAAGAACATTAAAATTTTTAAAATATATTAAAATTTTAACCTTAAAGTTTTAACATTTTTTAAAAATAAACTGCACCATTAATATATCTAAATTATAAAATAACTTGTCCTGACTGATTCATCATCGCCCAGAGCAAACCGCTGAACCTAAAGAGGTGAAATTTGGTACACAGTTAGGGTACGTCACGAAAACGTGCACTAAGAAGGAAATTTTTGAAATTCCCCTGTGGGTGGGGAGAGGGAGAGCATTAAGGCTTAACTTAAAGAACGGTTTCTACCGTACTATTTTAGATGCAATTTTTTATTTTCAACAATGTTTAGTCTTCATTGAGTACTTAGGTATATTAAATTGATAACATTTCAGACATTGTTATAAATATTTTTATATATTTCGATTTTTTAACCAAATGTTCAAACCGTTTTAAATTTGAATTTGTTATTGCATATTGATTCGATTATAGAACGATTGCAAATTTCTGTTTTAGAAAATTGATCAAATTGAAAACAGTTCTTTGTTCTCGGCAATTCTCGTCATTCTCAGTGGTAGGTGTTACATAACAATTACTATGGTTGTTGAAATACTGAATATAAATATACATAAATGAATATTAAATGGGGTTTGCTTGCAAAACTTCCATAGATGAAGTCACAGGTAACAGCTAGTTTATTTATATATTTAAGTATAAAAGAAGAACATTAATTTGAACATTAAATATTTGAAAATGGAATATGTATTTTTGAATACAACATTAAATATTCAAAAAGGAATTCAAATTTTTTATGTTAAATTTAAACCAACAGAAGCATGAGAATGGCATGCACATAAAGATAAATTAGAGATAAATGTGTTGCCATGGTATTACCTATTTGCTGTAATTCTAAATTTACTAACAACATGTAAAATGTTTATCTTAACAATAAAATTAGATAAAATAATAAAATAAACATTTACATGCAGTTAGTAAATTTAGAATTACAACAATTAGGTAATACCATGGAAACACATTTATGTTGCCATGGTATTTATCTCTATGTGCATGCCTATGTTGGTTTAAATATAACATAGAAAAATTTGAATTCCTTTTTGAATATTTAAGGTTCCTCTTTTTTTAAAATTTAAATGTTCCAATGTAATGTTCTTTACCTGAAGATGACATTGATAAAAGTGTTGAAAGTGTTTGTGTTGATAATAAAAACTGTTTAATGTTGATATACAGTAGTTATTTCTTGTTTTAATGGATAATATTTTGGCATGGTGATCTAATTATTTTTATATTCATAAACATTTTTCTTATTTATCAATATGTAATTGAAGTTTTCCATTTATAAGTTAGAAAAGAGTATGGAGGTTCCAGTGTAAACAAATATTTTTGATTCTCAAACATTTTAAATGTTTTTAAAATATGTTCAGATTTTAAACATTTTTTTATTTTACTTTAAATGATAAATATTTTCTTTTTTTGATGCATAAGTTTCTCTTTAATATCATTTATTTATAAAGAATAAAGATTTATATTTTATTGGGATTATTAAACCAGTTCCCAAACCTATTATTTCTATAAAATAGTTGAATTAAATGTATTTCATCAGTTTATTACTTATTGGTGTATATAAATACAGATATACTACGATATAAAAAAAGTAATTTTTTGAATATAATATTGCATCAGTACAGGGAACCCTCAATTTAATAGAAGAAAATACCAATTAAATCAAAAATTTACATGTTCTGTTGGAAAAAATAAATCTGTTAGTATACAATAGAATAATCAGTACATATTATTATAAACAAAAACAGGTTTCGTTTGTAAAATATGCAATTGATGAATTGGTCAATAGCAAAAATCTATCAAGAAATCTGAAAGTGTGACTATAGAAAATACTAATTCAATCCAGAGGTCTTTTATGATTCTGAAATATGGTGCACAAGAAAGATTAATCTATAGCAGTTGGTGATTTTTGAAAATAAAATATTGAGAAGGATGTATGGCCCAATTAAGGATAGGGAAAACAGGGAATGGAGCAGTGATTAGAGAGTAGAGAAGGACAAATGATGAGCTATGAGATCTATATGATATGTGAGAAAGTATAGTTTAATATGAATAGATCATAATAAAAGACAAGCCTTGAAGGTCATTTCAAATCAAAAGGTAAATGTCCAATTGACAGACCAAGATTCGTTATTAAATAATGCACTAGGCAAAATACAAAGATTGAATTTAGAGAATTGGAGACAGATAGACAGATGCCAAAGATAGGAGAAAGTGAAGGCATATATTGCCATCACTTGGTGTACTAGACCTAAATATATAGAAAAATAGATAATCATATAATTAATATTTAGAAAAACAATAAACATCTTGTTTACTATGAAAGATAATGATGATTGCTTCACAGATCAATTACATAAATGCATAAAGATCTGTTAAATTGAGGGTTTCTGTAATATCAAAAAAATAATAAAATAGTAAATATATGTTCATTAAGTAAGTATAAATTAATGTTTAATGTACTGATTATTGTTATAAATTTTAATGGTGATATAATTTAAATTTTCAAATTAATTAAAACATTTTAAATTTTCATCATTTTTCATCTTTAATAATAATTTTACATTTTATATGCCATCTATATATATAATAAAATGCAATCCGTTTTGTTTTTAGCAAGCTTACATTGTTGACTAATACGGAAAATTTAATTGACATATTTTAACTTTTTAAAAATTTTGTCAATATTTAAACTGAATACTTTGGCGATCCATGATAATTAACTGTGTATGAAAATTTTAAATATCACATACGTTATTTTCAAAACTGATAAATAAAAGACATGTAAACCAATTATATGCTATATAACAAATGTGTTGAAACTATAATAATACATATAAAGAAAAATCATTATAAAAGATTCACATAATTAAATACTTACTTAATAATACATATTTCTAAAAAAATTGGGTTTAAAATATAAATTATAAAAATATAATTTAAATAAATAAATGCTATGATATTACAATTAAAGTAAAATTCAAAAATTAATTCTAATTAAGGCATAAATAAGATGATAACAGTGCATTGATTTTAAGAATAGCAGATAATGAACAATATTAGATAAACCAAAATACCTGAAAGATTTAGTTGAGGATAAATATTATCAGATGCTTCATCAGCTAATTTAGCACTCAGCACTGTGGAAGAAGTTAAAGTATCAGAGGTAGAATCATGAATTGCATCGGCTTTCAGTAATGCAGTAGGGAATAAAACTGTTTTAACGTTGGATGTAGTATCACATTTTAAAAGTTCGGTATTAGGTATTTTTTCTTGTTGGACTTCTATTTTATTTTCTGAACATGAAATATGATTTTTATCTATGTCAAGTGAAATATCATCACTTATGTGACTACCTATTTCTACTTCTAATGATGACTGAGGATATAGATCAAGAGTTGGTTTTGTTTTTGTTTTATCCAGTTCTGACTCTTCATAAATATCACTAGTAAATTGTGCTGATGTAGTCTTTTCTGGTATCTCTTTATTTGCACCTTGATCAAAATTTTCATTGACTGTTTGCTCTTTTATAAATTCTTGTAATGTAGAATTACACAATTCTTCTGCAGCTGGAGAAATATCTTCTTCGATATCAGGTGCTTCATCTTCGGTTCGCACTTCAGCTAGTTCTATTTCACTGCAGGAAACATTGTTTAACATCTGTAAAATAAGATCGGTGTCACATTTTTCAACTTGCGCCTCGTCGTCAAATGACTCCATGGTTGGAGAACTTCTTTTAAATAGTTCGTCATCTCCAGTCGGAAGATCACCATCAAAAGCTATTATGCTTTCATAATTCTCCAAAGAAGGCATATTATCTGGTCTATCCTTCAACATTTCTTTAACAATTTCCATTTCTTTTTCCATCCATTTGTTAACATTTTCATATGCAGATTCTTTTGTATCTAATGCAGATGGAAAAGACACTTCTGCTTGTGTTAAAACATCAGCTTTAGGAATATCATCTGGACTATAAGATTGATAATCATCTGAATGACTGAATCCATTAGTTTGCCCTTCTGAAAAGTAATCACTTGAATTTGGATGCTGAATTTTATACTCTGAGGAAATTGATGTTGACTGAAAAGTTTCTTTCTGAAATACAGATACATCATCAATTTTATATTCTTTTATTTGCTCTTTTTCTGATACTACATCTAAAGATTGATTTTTTTCTTCAAAGCATTCAAGTTTGGTATCATCTGCAATTTGGTTTTCTATTTCAAACTTCTCTAAGTTATTTTCAAATTCAAGATACTCTGTTTTGTCTTTTATTAATATAGAATCAATTTCTTGAATGCCAATTTTTTTATTGATTTCTTCAGATTCATCTAATACGACTGTTTCAGAAATATCGGCATTTTTAAATTCTGTTGGTGCATTTATTTCATTTTCATAAACAACTGATTTTTCTAATAAATCAGCAGTTTGCTTAAGTATTTCCGATTTAATTCCTATATCAGTGGAAATTTCAGTAGTTACGTTAATTTCTTTTGCAGAACTTACTTCAGATGGTGAATAATATTGTTCATCAAATTGTGTTGTTTCAGTAGTTAAATCAAGGCAATTTGGATCTTCTTGAATAGATTTTTTAAAATCTTTATTAATAATTTGTTTTTCTTTTTCTAAACAAGGCTATCTAGACATAAAGTTGATGATAAAATTTTAAATCTTTTTCTAAATTTAATTCATCTTCAATTATTTTCTCTTTAACTGAAAATAAGTGATTTTCTTTTATTGTTGAATTGCATTTTTTCTCAAGAATAGTAAGTGAGGTTATTTCATAATTTTTTTCTTTAGGGATATATTCTATAGACTCAACACAAATTTTGCTATTTAACTTACCTGATTCATTTTGTTCTTCTAATTTGTCAGGAAATAACTTTATTCCAACGTGTTCTTCTTCTGTAATAATATTTCTCAAATCAGTCTCATTACTTTTTGAATATTCTTTATTGAAGGAAACATCATGTGAAATTTCAGATAATTTTTCATCACTAATTGGGAAAATATCAATTTCTGTATATTTAAAATCAGAATTAGGATCAGCATATTTTATTATCTGATCTCTTTCATTTTTAATTAATTCATCTGAAAAAATATCAATTTTATCTTTTAATATAAATTCAGATTTTTTAGTTAATGTTTCAGGAAATTCAAAATTTTTATGTTTTATATTATTTATCTCTAATTCTGATATCAATTTATTATTTAAATCTTTCTGTTCAAGACAGATTATTTCCTTTTCTTTCTTTTTTGACAAAATTACCTCACTTTTTTTATTTCTAATCAATTCATTTTCTGAAATCTCACAAATATCATATTGTAAAATATTTTCATTTACATTCATTTGATCTGTACCAGTTTTTTCTAAATTATTTTTTCTGTCGACTTGTTTTATGTTTCCTACATCCAAAATTTTTTCTGATTGAATTTGCTTACTTTTAATTTCAGTTTCTTCAGAAATTTCATTCTTGATGTTTTCTTCATTTAGTGAACTGTTAACTGTATCCATTACTATTTGTTTGGTAGTATATTCTGTTTCTCTTGTTAGTGAATTATCACTTAAAATTACAGATTCTTGTGGTAAAATTTTGATAAACTGATCAGTTCCTATAATTTCGTCATATTTTGGAGAAATTTTCTTATTAGATAATGGAGCAGAAGGTATTTCTGTCTTACCTGAATATATATAGTCTGTATCCATGTCAAACAGACGTTCTTCATAGGTCTTATCAGATTTTACTTTCTTATATTCTTTTTCCAAAATAACATTTTCAGTTTTACTCACAATAGTAGAAATTTTTCTAACAATAACTGTTGATTGGTCTGTTGTTGCAATTTCATTTCCTTCTGTAACCACTGTGGATGTTATAGTGACAGGAAAAGCTTCTGCACTTGCCAAACTTTCCATCATTTCATATTCTTTATCTATTAGATGTTTTGAATCTGTTAGTTCTGTCATTTCTAATTGAGAAATATCGGATTCTTTATGACTGACTGCTTCTTCTAGTTCTGAAGCTTGCAAATGGATTGTATCTGCTTTCTCCATGACACTTATGTTAGAGAGTGAATCTTTTGATTCCGATTCAGATTCTGTAGTATCTTTTGTTGCAGTGTCACTCTCAAAAACCATATGTTCTGATTTTTTTTGATCATCTTCTGTGTCTTCACTTTCATCATGAGACAATAGAAGAGAAGTTACAGTAGAGTCCATGACTTCACTAGTAGATTTCAAAATTTCTTCTTCAATTTCTAATTCTGTATCCTTAGTCTCAGGAGAAATGTCTTCTGATTTTAAAGGTTGAATCATTTTAAACTCACTATCAGTTTCTATTTCAATATCTTCTTTTGTTAAATCAGAAGGAATTTCTGGATGCACTTCAGGAATTAATTTACCTTCATATTCATATTGTTCATCCTGGCTGAAATCAATATGCTTTTTATCACTGTCATCATACATTAATTCATCTCCAATTTGAGTAATTATTTGTTTTTCAGGTGAATCACGTTTAAGTTCTTTTTCTATTTCTGAAATATCTAATATTTTTTCTTCATTTTCCACTAAAGAAATTACATCACTTTTTGAATCTAACTTTTTTTCAATGATAATTGTTCTTTTTGTTGAAACATCAAGGTTTTCTTGTGGAGAAATTTCTGTAGTAATTTCTTTTTCTGGCACTATTATTTCTTTTGAAAGAGGCTCTCTAAATTTTATCTCATCTAAAGTATTTAAATCTTTTGAAGTATCATCATCAATGCATAATTCAGTTTCTGCTACTTCAACAGTTTCTAGATTTGATTCTGATTTGATATTTGTTACTGTTCGAATAATTGTTTTTTCAATATTTCTCACAATTGTTTTTGTAACTGTTTCCTTCGTTCCAGTTTCTTCATAAATATCTTCAATTTCTTCAGATGATGATACTTTTATTTCTTTCTCTTTTTTCTCAGTTTTAACTAATGGTTCACTTTCAAGAGTATATGAAATATCAATTTCTTCTTGTGGATAAAACATTTCTTTTTGCATGATTAAATTAGTATCGCTTTCAACTTTTATACCCTCTTTGTGTTTCATTTCGTCCTCTTTGTTTTCAGATTGAATCAAATCTTCCTTAACTTTTTCTTCAAAAGATTCAGTTCTTTCTTCTTGCATAATCAAAATAGTATCACCTTCAGTTTTTATAATCTCTTCAAGTTTAATTTCATCCTCCTTGGTTTCAGATTTTATCAAATCTTCCTTAACTTTTTCTTTGACAGAATCAGTTGTTTCTTTTTGCATAATCAAAGTAGTATCATCTTTAGTTTTCATAGTGTCTTTAACCTTCATTTCATCTTTGGTTTCAGATTTAATCAAATCATCTTTAAATTTTTCTTTGATAAATTCAGTTGTTTCAACTACTGTTGTTAATTCTGTAATAGTTTTTTCAATTTCTTTATCTTTTGTTTCACTAGTAATCTGAGGACTAATTTCTACACTTTTTAATTCTTGTTTTTGTTTGCTAAATACTTCCCAAGTTTCTTCTATTCCTTTATCTTTATCTATGTGGAGATGTAAAGTTTCTCTAGCTTCTCTAATTTCATCATCATTAATGATTTCCCATTCTTCACTGATCTGTTTTTCTTCATCAGCATAAGTGGCTAAATTAGTTTCTAGTACCTCTTGTTTATCTTCTTCAGAAACATAACTTTCTTGTGAAGCTTCCTTTCTTAAACCACTATAATCTTTAATTTTTGAAATTTCAATTGCTTCTCCCCCACTACCAGTTCTTAAGAAAAGTTGAATTTCTGCTTTCAGGACTTGATTTTCTGATGTAAACTCTGAAGAACTGCTTGATTTTTCTTTCAATCCACTTATCTTATCTTCAGTAAATTCTTTTTCTGTTATTGAACGTTCTGCTTCTGTTCCTTCGTCTGACAAAGCACTCGAATCACCGGTTATTGATGATGGTTTAGAACCATTTTCATCTTCTGCTCCAGTTTGAAAAAATTTTAATCTTTCTGCAAAACTTACTTGCTCTTCAACAACTTCTCCTTGTCTTGCATCACTTTCATCAATTAATTTAACACCTTTGGTCATTGTAAGCTTTGTTGATGATGAAAAATCGGGGGGAAGGATAATTGAAGTTTGAGAAAGTCTTTGAAAAAAATCTCTTTTTTCAGCAAAACTAAGAATTTCTTCAGGCGTTAACTGTTTCATTTGAACCTCATCGAGTTCTTCTATTCCAGCAGCTATATCAATTTCTCTTGTTCTGTGCACTGTACCTGGATTCGTGAGATTAAGTCAAAGCCGTGACTCTAAATTTGTACTGGACATTTAAAGAAAAATATTTTCAAAATTATCAAGCTTGAACATAAATTATAGTTTGTTTGCTAAACCTCTTTATTATTCTTTAAATTAAAATTCATGCACAAAAAATGTAATTTAAAGCTATTTTAATAATAAATGCAAATATATATATAATTTGAGATAAGAAAAGTCACATAACATAATAAAATTGAAATAATAATAATTATAAATCAACTGTGGATTGCTTCAATGCATCATGAAAATAAAACAAATAAATATAATTTTCATGCAGTTTTCTTCCAATACATTATCGTATTACTTTATTCAAATTGTAAAAACTTCACTAATGTCATTCAAATATAGTCAACCATGCATTATTGAAATTATGTATGATATCATACAAGCATGGTATTTATACTTTTAATTAAAAATATCAAAATTCATGCTTCCAACGAGCCCAAACTTTTTCTACTTTTAAATACCTGGCTCTATAGCAGAACATATTCCTTGTAGTTCTGATGGTCTTCCTTGTACTATAAATAAATTTTTTATTTTTCAAACATTCAGTTTCACTTCAGTTATTATTATAATCACAAGATACTCAGTTCTAAAATTATATATTTCCATATTTTTTGAAATGTGTGCATGTAATACATGTGTACATTATTACAAACATTGACTATTATCAACTGACTCTGATAAAAACTTGAAAGAAAAGAAAATAATAATATAATTGCGAAAATGTATATTCTGCTATACGCAATAAAAACTGAATAAAGAAAATATTGCTTTTCACAACTAAATAAATGAATTTTTTAAATAAAAACTGTTAGACATAAAGCACTCAGTATTCAATGGAGATTTAGCAAATAGCAAAATGACTTAAAATTTTGATAGCCTACCTTCTGGCACAACAGATACTTCTGTTTCTTGTGATGTAGCACCTTCAGGAGTTTTAGACTGTACATTTTTATCTTCTATCTCACTCCAATCTAAATATCAAATAAAAATTTATCATTTTCAATTGAAATAAATAATTAATTCTATATACACTTTCTTTAATTTATAAAGTAAAGAAAATTTAATTATTGCTTGAATCAAATGGTCAAGTTGAATTGAATATTTAAATAATTCTAGGTAGTATTTGAACATAGTGCTTGACTTATATAGATTAACTGATGCTTCTTAAGAACATTTGTAATCAGAGTTATGTTTTTCTGTTTTTATTCTATTGAAATGATTGCAATTTGTTATCAAACATTCAGTGATTACATGAAATATCCATAGAATTATGTTCAGCAATTTCCAAAAAGTGCTTTACTTCCTTTGTCTGGAAAATCTGGCTTTCTTTTAATGGATACTTATTTAACAATTTCTGGACTAGTGGTGCTTGTGAATGCTGTGCAGACTGGGATTTTTTGATTATTTTCAAAAAATCATAAAAAAATGAATAAATAATAATTTTCATAATATTTTGGATTTGTTTCTTTGTATTTTTGTTAATATGAAAGAATTAACAGAATAATCATTAAAAATACTATGTTTAAAAAAATTAGAATAAAATGTTTTTTTAATCTAATTTTTTTAAACGTAGTATTTTTAATCACATCTACTCAGATAAAAAAGAGCTTCAAAAGAAAACTTCTCTGAAACTGGACTGTTCCATAACACAAAATACCCTGGGTGGGTATAGCTTTAGCGAGCACTTAATCTATCAATTATCTGATAAGTGTAAGACCCAGAGTAACAATGGTAATGATATAGATGATAATACCAACAACAGAGAGCAGAAAAAACACCAAGCAGGTAGTAATTACTTATGAACTTTCACTTGACAGCAATGTGTTAACAAATAGCAAACATAAATATACATGTAACCCTACAATATATCTGCCACTAAAATATGGGAAAGATGCCATAAATGAAGAATGGACACCTGGGGTTTATAGGATAACCTTGAAGAATTATAGGTTTGACAGAGATCTAGTTTACATAAGTGTTATGAAAAATTCCTCAAGCAGCATGTAAAAGAGCACAAATATGATAACAACATGAAACCATTCATAGCTCTGTCCATATATACCTTTGACAGCAATGTTGAGGTTAAACTTGACTGGACAAGGTTAATATGTTATACTCAACATAATGACCATATTAGAGATTTAGAGGCCTTGGAGATCTTTAAAGCAGGCCAGGTAGGCAACTGTATTAACCATAAAAATGAAAAAAAATTTTGTTCGCATGGAAGGCACACTTTGATCCAATCTTAACACCCTACTCCCACCCATTCACACCTTTGCATTCTTGATTAGTTCAATCATATTTATTACCTTTTTGAATTTATTACTTTAAATTTTAATTCTGCAGACATTCTGTTTAATACGTTCCATTATAGAACTTGTATTTTTAAACCTGATGCAGACCTCGGGAGGAGGTCAAAAACGTCCCTACTTCATTTAAATGTTATTACTGGAAGGACTTAGGCTTTTTGTTTTAAGTTTTGTGTCATAAAAGAGCTTTATTTTATTTGGCACTTACTTTGAGATTGATACATGCTTTTAGGGACTGTTCAAAGTATAATTGCTCATTTGTGAGAGTTTAAAGCATTTTTCAAGATACAATTGAATGTACAAAGTTTACAATACAACGATGTTTACATTGACAGAACTTAAACCAGATTCATTTTGTTTGGTTTCAGATGAGAACTATATATTTCTGACCTGGAATTATCATTTATTAAATGTAAAGCTTCATTGATTGATAAGTTTCTGCATGCAGCCATTTTACAAACGTCAAAGTATTAAATAACATGTGCCATTTAGTGGTGAAAATTATAATTTTTTTTATATTAAACATACTTCCTACATCAGCAAGAAGTAGGCTGAAAGTATTTAGTATTAATAAATTAAACAACAATGATGTACTTTTAAATATATATTTAGANTTAACCTTAAAGTTTTAACATTTTTTAAAAATAAACTGCACCATTAATATATCTAAATTATAAAATAACTTGTCCTGACTGATTCATCATCGCCCAGAGCAAACCGCTGAACCTAAAGAGGTGAAATTTGGTACACAGTTAGGGTACGTCACGAAAACGTGCACTAAGAAGGAAATTTTTGAAATTCCCCTGTGGGTGGGGAGAGGGAGAGCATTAAGGCTTAACTTAAAGAACGGTTTCTACCGTACTATTTTAGATGCAATTTTTTATTTTCAACAATGTTTAGTCTTCATTGAGTACTTAGGTATATTAAATTGATAACATTTCAGACATTGTTATAAATATTTTTATATATTTCGATTTTTTAACCAAATGTTCAAACCGTTTTAAATTTGAATTTGTTATTGCATATTGGTTCGATTATAGAACGATTGCAAATTTCTGTTTTAGAAAATTGATCAAATTGAAAACAGTTCTTTGTTCTCGGCAATTCTCGTCATTCTCAGTGGTAGGTGTTACATAACAATTACTATGGTTGTTGAAATACTGAATATAAATATACATAAATGAATATTAAATGGGGTTTGCTTGCAAAACTTCCATAGATGAAGTCACAGGTAACAGCTAGTTTATTTATATATTTAAGTATAAAAGAAGAACATTAATTTGAACATTAAATATTTGAAAATGGAATATGTATTTTTGAATACAACATTAAATATTCAAAAAGGAATTCAAATTTTTTATGTTAAATTTAAACCAACAGAAGCATGAGAATGGCATGCACATAAAGATAAATTAGAGATAAATGTGTTGCCATGGTATTACCTATTTGCTGTAATTCTAAATTTACTAACAACATGTAAAATGTTTATCTTAACAATAAAATTAGATAAAATAATAAAATAAACATTTACATGCAGTTAGTAAATTTAGAATTACAACAATTAGGTAATACCATGGAAACACATTTATGTTGCCATGGTATTTATCTCTATGTGCATGCCTATGTTGGTTTAAATATAACATAGAAAAATTTGAATTCCTTTTTGAATATTTAAGGTTCCTCTTTTTTTAAAATTTAAATGTTCCAATGTAATGTTCTTTACCTGAAGATGACATTGATAAAAGTGTTGAAAGTGTTTGTGTTGATAATAAAAACTGTTTAATGTTGATATACAGTAGTTATTTCTTGTTTTAATGGATAATATTTTGGCATGGTGATCTAATTATTTTTATATTCATAAACATTTTTCTTATTTATCAATATGTAATTGAAGTTTTCCATTTATAAGTTAGAAAAGAGTATGGAGGTTCCAGTGTAAACAAATATTTTTGATTCTCAAACATTTTAAATGTTTTTAAAATATGTTCAGATTTTAAACATTTTTTTATTTTACTTTAAATGATAAATATTTTCTTTTTTTGATGCATAAGTTTCTCTTTAATATCATTTATTTATAAAGAATAAAGATTTATATTTTATTGGGATTATTAAACCAGTTCCCAAACCTATTATTTCTATAAAATAGTTGAATTAAATGTATTTCATCAGTTTATTACTTATTGGTGTATATAAATACAGATATACTACGATATAAAAAAAGTAATTTTTTGAATATAATATTGCATCAGTACAGGGAACCCTCAATTTAATAGAAGAAAATACCAATTAAATCAAAAATTTACATGTTCTGTTGGAAAAAATAAATCTGTTAGTATACAATAGAATAATCAGTACATATTATTATAAACAAAAACAGGTTTCGTTTGTAAAATATGCAATTGATGAATTGGTCAATAGCAAAAATCTATCAAGAAATCTGAAAGTGTGACTATAGAAAATACTAATTCAATCCAGAGGTCTTTTATGATTCTGAAATATGGTGCACAAGAAAGATTAATCTATAGCAGTTGGTGATTTTTGAAAATAAAATATTGAGAAGGATGTATGGCCCAATTAAGGATAGGGAAAACAGGGAATGGAGCAGTGATTAGAGAGTAGAGAAGGACAAATGATGAGCTATGAGATCTATATGATATGTGAGAAAGTATAGTTTAATATGAATAGATCATAATAAAAGACAAGCCTTGAAGGTCATTTCAAATCAAAAGGTAAATGTCCAATTGACAGACCAAGATTCGTTATTAAATAATGCACTAGGCAAAATACAAAGATTGAATTTAGAGAATTGGAGACAGATAGACAGATGCCAAAGATAGGAGAAAGTGAAGGCATATATTGCCATCACTTGGTGTACTAGACCTAAATATATAGAAAAATAGATAATCATATAATTAATATTTAGAAAAACAATAAACATCTTGTTTACTATGAAAGATAATGATGATTGCTTCACAGATCAATTACATAAATGCATAAAGATCTGTTAAATTGAGGGTTTCTGTAATATCAAAAAAATAATAAAATAGTAAATATATGTTCATTAAGTAAGTATAAATTAATGTTTAATGTACTGATTATTGTTATAAATTTTAATGGTGATATAATTTAAATTTTCAAATTAATTAAAACATTTTAAATTTTCATCATTTTTCATCTTTAATAATAATTTTACATTTTATATGCCATCTATATATATAATAAAATGCAATCCGTTTTGTTTTTAGCAAGCTTACATTGTTGACTAATACGGAAAATTTAATTGACATATTTTAACTTTTTAAAAATTTTGTCAATATTTAAACTGAATACTTTGGCGATCCATGATAATTAACTGTGTATGAAAATTTTAAATATCACATACGTTATTTTCAAAACTGATAAATAAAAGACATGTAAACCAATTATATGCTATATAACAAATGTGTTGAAACTATAATAATACATATAAAGAAAAATCATTATAAAAGATTCACATAATTAAATACTTACTTAATAATACATATTTCTAAAAAAATTGGGTTTAAAATATAAATTATAAAAATATAATTTAAATAAATAAATGCTATGATATTACAATTAAAGTAAAATTCAAAAATTAATTCTAATTAAGGCATAAATAAGATGATAACAGTGCATTGATTTTAAGAATAGCAGATAATGAACAATATTAGATAAACCAAAATACCTGAAAGATTTAGTTGAGGATAAATATTATCAGATGCTTCATCAGCTAATTTAGCACTCAGCACTGTGGAAGAAGTTAAAGTATCAGAGGTAGAATCATGAATTGCATCGGCTTTCAGTAATGCAGTAGGGAATAAAACTGTTTTAACGTTGGATGTAGTATCACATTTTAAAAGTTCGGTATTAGGTATTTTTTCTTGTTGGACTTCTATTTTATTTTCTGAACATGAAATATGATTTTTATCTATGTCAAGTGAAATATCATCACTTATGTGACTACCTATTTCTACTTCTAATGATGACTGAGGATATAGATCAAGAGTTGGTTTTGTTTTTGTTTTATCCAGTTCTGACTCTTCATAAATATCACTAGTAAATTGTGCTGATGTAGTCTTTTCTGGTATCTCTTTATTTGCACCTTGATCAAAATTTTCATTGACTGTTTGCTCTTTTATAAATTCTTGTAATGTAGAATTACACAATTCTTCTGCAGCTGGAGAAATATCTTCTTCGATATCAGGTGCTTCATCTTCGGTTCGCACTTCAGCTAGTTCTATTTCACTGCAGGAAACATTGTTTAACATCTGTAAAATAAGATCGGTGTCACATTTTTCAACTTGCGCCTCGTCGTCAAATGACTCCATGGTTGGAGAACTTCTTTTAAATAGTTCGTCATCTCCAGTCGGAAGATCACCATCAAAAGCTATTATGCTTTCATAATTCTCCAAAGAAGGCATATTATCTGGTCTATCCTTCAACATTTCTTTAACAATTTCCATTTCTTTTTCCATCCATTTGTTAACATTTTCATATGCAGATTCTTTTGTATCTAATGCAGATGGAAAAGACACTTCTGCTTGTGTTAAAACATCAGCTTTAGGAATATCATCTGGACTATAAGATTGATAATCATCTGAATGACTGAATCCATTAGTTTGCCCTTCTGAAAAGTAATCACTTGAATTTGGATGCTGAATTTTATACTCTGAGGAAATTGATGTTGACTGAAAAGTTTCTTTCTGAAATACAGATACATCATCAATTTTATATTCTTTTATTTGCTCTTTTTCTGATACTACATCTAAAGATTGATTTTTTTCTTCAAAGCATTCAAGTTTGGTATCATCTGCAATTTGGTTTTCTATTTCAAACTTCTCTAAGTTATTTTCAAATTCAAGATACTCTGTTTTGTCTTTTATTAATATAGAATCAATTTCTTGAATGCCAATTTTTTTATTGATTTCTTCAGATTCATCTAATACGACTGTTTCAGAAATATCGGCATTTTTAAATTCTGTTGGTGCATTTATTTCATTTTCATAAACAACTGATTTTTCTAATAAATCAGCAGTTTGCTTAAGTATTTCCGATTTAATTCCTATATCAGTGGAAATTTCAGTAGTTACGTTAATTTCTTTTGCAGAACTTACTTCAGATGGTGAATAATATTGTTCATCAAATTGTGTTGTTTCAGTAGTTAAATCAAGGCAATTTGGATCTTCTTGAATAGATTTTTTAAAATCTTTATTAATAATTTGTTTTTCTTTTTCTAAATTTAATTCATCTTCAATTATTTTCTCTTTAACTGAAAATAAGTGATTTTCTTTTATTGTTGAATTGCATTTTTTCTCAAGAATAGTAAGTGAGGTTATTTCATAATTTTTTTCTTTAGGGATATATTCTATAGACTCAACACAAATTTTGCTATTTAACTTACCTGATTCATTTTGTTCTTCTAATTTGTCAGGAAATAACTTTATTCCAACGTGTTCTTCTTCTGTAATAATATTTCTCAAATCAGTCTCATTACTTTTTGAATATTCTTTATTGAAGGAAACATCATGTGAAATTTCAGATAATTTTTCATCACTAATTGGGAAAATATCAATTTCTGTATATTTAAAATCAGAATTAGGATCAGCATATTTTATTATCTGATCTCTTTCATTTTTAATTAATTCATCTGAAAAAATATCAATTTTATCTTTTAATATAAATTCAGATTTTTTAGTTAATGTTTCAGGAAATTCAAAATTTTTATGTTTTATATTATTTATCTCTAATTCTGATATCAATTTATTATTTAAATCTTTCTGTTCAAGACAGATTATTTCCTTTTCTTTCTTTTTTGACAAAATTACCTCACTTTTTTTATTTCTAATCAATTCATTTTCTGAAATCTCACAAATATCATATTGTAAAATATTTTCATTTACATTCATTTGATCTGTACCAGTTTTTTCTAAATTATTTTTTCTGTCGACTTGTTTTATGTTTCCTACATCCAAAATTTTTTCTGATTGAATTTGCTTACTTTTAATTTCAGTTTCTTCAGAAATTTCATTCTTGATGTTTTCTTCATTTAGTGAACTGTTAACTGTATCCATTACTATTTGTTTGGTAGTATATTCTGTTTCTCTTGTTAGTGAATTATCACTTAAAATTACAGATTCTTGTGGTAAAATTTTGATAAACTGATCAGTTCCTATAATTTCGTCATATTTTGGAGAAATTTTCTTATTAGATAATGGAGCAGAAGGTATTTCTGTCTTACCTGAATATATATAGTCTGTATCCATGTCAAACAGACGTTCTTCATAGGTCTTATCAGATTTTACTTTCTTATATTCTTTTTCCAAAATAACATTTTCAGTTTTACTCACAATAGTAGAAATTTTTCTAACAATAACTGTTGATTGGTCTGTTGTTGCAATTTCATTTCCTTCTGTAACCACTGTGGATGTTATAGTGACAGGAAAAGCTTCTGCACTTGCCAAACTTTCCATCATTTCATATTCTTTATCTATTAGATGTTTTGAATCTGTTAGTTCTGTCATTTCTAATTGAGAAATATCGGATTCTTTATGACTGACTGCTTCTTCTAGTTCTGAAGCTTGCAAATGGATTGTATCTGCTTTCTCCATGACACTTATGTTAGAGAGTGAATCTTTTGATTCCGATTCAGATTCTGTAGTATCTTTTGTTGCAGTGTCACTCTCAAAAACCATATGTTCTGATTTTTTTTGATCATCTTCTGTGTCTTCACTTTCATCATGAGACAATAGAAGAGAAGTTACAGTAGAGTCCATGACTTCACTAGTAGATTTCAAAATTTCTTCTTCAATTTCTAATTCTGTATCCTTAGTCTCAGGAGAAATGTCTTCTGATTTTAAAGGTTGAATCATTTTAAACTCACTATCAGTTTCTATTTCAATATCTTCTTTTGTTAAATCAGAAGGAATTTCTGGATGCACTTCAGGAATTAATTTACCTTCATATTCATATTGTTCATCCTGGCTGAAATCAATATGCTTTTTATCACTGTCATCATACATTAATTCATCTCCAATTTGAGTAATTATTTGTTTTTCAGGTGAATCACGTTTAAGTTCTTTTTCTATTTCTGAAATATCTAATATTTTTTCTTCATTTTCCACTAAAGAAATTACATCACTTTTTGAATCTAACTTTTTTTCAATGATAATTGTTCTTTTTGTTGAAACATCAAGGTTTTCTTGTGGAGAAATTTCTGTAGTAATTTCTTTTTCTGGCACTATTATTTCTTTTGAAAGAGGCTCTCTAAATTTTATCTCATCTAAAGTATTTAAATCTTTTGAAGTATCATCATCAATGCATAATTCAGTTTCTGCTACTTCAACAGTTTCTAGATTTGATTCTGATTTGATATTTGTTACTGTTCGAATAATTGTTTTTTCAATATTTCTCACAATTGTTTTTGTAACTGTTTCCTTCGTTCCAGTTTCTTCATAAATATCTTCAATTTCTTCAGATGATGATACTTTTATTTCTTTCTCTTTTTTCTCAGTTTTAACTAATGGTTCACTTTCAAGAGTATATGAAATATCAATTTCTTCTTGTGGATAAAACATTTCTTTTTGCATGATTAAATTAGTATCGCTTTCAACTTTTATACCCTCTTTGTGTTTCATTTCGTCCTCTTTGTTTTCAGATTGAATCAAATCTTCCTTAACTTTTTCTTCAAAAGATTCAGTTCTTTCTTCTTGCATAATCAAAATAGTATCACCTTCAGTTTTTATAATCTCTTCAAGTTTAATTTCATCCTCCTTGGTTTCAGATTTTATCAAATCTTCCTTAACTTTTTCTTTGACAGAATCAGTTGTTTCTTTTTGCATAATCAAAGTAGTATCATCTTTAGTTTTCATAGTGTCTTTAACCTTCATTTCATCTTTGGTTTCAGATTTAATCAAATCATCTTTAAATTTTTCTTTGATAAATTCAGTTGTTTCAACTACTGTTGTTAATTCTGTAATAGTTTTTTCAATTTCTTTATCTTTTGTTTCACTAGTAATCTGAGGACTAATTTCTACACTTTTTAATTCTTGTTTTTGTTTGCTAAATACTTCCCAAGTTTCTTCTATTCCTTTATCTTTATCTATGTGGAGATGTAAAGTTTCTCTAGCTTCTCTAATTTCATCATCATTAATGATTTCCCATTCTTCACTGATCTGTTTTTCTTCATCAGCATAAGTGGCTAAATTAGTTTCTAGTACCTCTTGTTTATCTTCTTCAGAAACATAACTTTCTTGTGAAGCTTCCTTTCTTAAACCACTATAATCTTTAATTTTTGAAATTTCAATTGCTTCTCCCCCACTACCAGTTCTTAAGAAAAGTTGAATTTCTGCTTTCAGGACTTGATTTTCTGATGTAAACTCTGAAGAACTGCTTGATTTTTCTTTCAATCCACTTATCTTATCTTCAGTAAATTCTTTTTCTGTTATTGAACGTTCTGCTTCTGTTCCTTCGTCTGACAAAGCACTCGAATCACCGGTTATTGATGATGGTTTAGAACCATTTTCATCTTCTGCTCCAGTTTGAAAAAATTTTAATCTTTCTGCAAAACTTACTTGCTCTTCAACAACTTCTCCTTGTCTTGCATCACTTTCATCAATTAATTTAACACCTTTGGTCATTGTAAGCTTTGTTGATGATGAAAAATCGGGGGGAAGGATAATTGAAGTTTGAGAAAGTCTTTGAAAAAAATCTCTTTTTTCAGCAAAACTAAGAATTTCTTCAGGCGTTAACTGTTTCATTTGAACCTCATCGAGTTCTTCTATTCCAGCAGCTATATCAATTTCTCTTGTTCTGTGCACTGTACCTGGATTCGTGAGATTAAGTCAAAGCCGTGACTCTAAATTTGTACTGGACATTTAAAGAAAAATATTTTCAAAATTATCAAGCTTGAACATAAATTATAGTTTGTTTGCTAAACCTCTTTATTATTCTTTAAATTAAAATTCATGCACAAAAAATGTAATTTAAAGCTATTTTAATAATAAATGCAAATATATATATAATTTGAGATAAGAAAAGTCACATAACATAATAAAATTGAAATAATAATAATTATAAATCAACTGTGGATTGCTTCAATGCATCATGAAAATAAAACAAATAAATATAATTTTCATGCAGTTTTCTTCCAATACATTATCGTATTACTTTATTCAAATTGTAAAAACTTCACTAATGTCATTCAAATATAGTCAACCATGCATTATTGAAATTATGTATGATATCATACAAGCATGGTATTTATACTTTTAATTAAAAATATCAAAATTCATGCTTCCAACGAGCCCAAACTTTTTCTACTTTTAAATACCTGGCTCTATAGCAGAACATATTCCTTGTAGTTCTGATGGTCTTCCTTGTACTATAAATAAATTTTTTATTTTTCAAACATTCAGTTTCACTTCAGTTATTATTATAATCACAAGATACTCAGTTCTAAAATTATATATTTCCATATTTTTTGAAATGTGTGCATGTAATACATGTGTACATTATTACAAACATTGACTATTATCAACTGACTCTGATAAAAACTTGAAAGAAAAGAAAATAATAATATAATTGCGAAAATGTATATTCTGCTATACGCAATAAAAACTGAATAAAGAAAATATTGCTTTTCACAACTAAATAAATGAATTTTTTAAATAAAAACTGTTAGACATAAAGCACTCAGTATTCAATGGAGATTTAGCAAATAGCAAAATGACTTAAAATTTTGATAGCCTACCTTCTGGCACAACAGATACTTCTGTTTCTTGTGATGTAGCACCTTCAGGAGTTTTAGACTGTACATTTTTATCTTCTATCTCACTCCAATCTAAATATCAAATAAAAATTTATCATTTTCAATTGAAATAAATAATTAATTCTATATACACTTTCTTTAATTTATAAAGTAAAGAAAATTTAATTATTGCTTGAATCAAATGGTCAAGTTGAATTGAATATTTAAATAATTCTAGGTAGTATTTGAACATAGTGCTTGACTTATATAGATTAACTGATGCTTCTTAAGAACATTTGTAATCAGAGTTATGTTTTTCTGTTTTTATTCTATTGAAATGATTGCAATTTGTTATCAAACATTCAGTGATTACATGAAATATCCATAGAATTATGTTCAGCAATTTCCAAAAAGTGCTTTACTTCCTTTGTCTGGAAAATCTGGCTTTCTTTTAATGGATACTTATTTAACAATTTCTGGACTAGTGGTGCTTGTGAATGCTGTGCAGACTGGGATTTTTTGATTATTTTCAAAAAATCATAAAAAAATGAATAAATAATAATTTTCATAATATTTTGGATTTGTTTCTTTGTATTTTTGTTAATATGAAAGAATTAACAGAATAATCATTAAAAATACTATGTTTAAAAAAATTAGAATAAAATGTTTTTTTAATCTAATTTTTTTAAACGTAGTATTTTTAATCACATCTACTCAGATAAAAAAGAGCTTCAAAAGAAAACTTCTCTGAAACTGGACTGTTCCATAACACAAAATACCCTGGGTGGGTATAGCTTTAGCGAGCACTTAATCTATCAATTATCTGATAAGTGTAAGACCCAGAGTAACAATGGTAATGATATAGATGATAATACCAACAACAGAGAGCAGAAAAAACACCAAGCAGGTAGTAATTACTTATGAACTTTCACTTGACAGCAATGTGTTAACAAATAGCAAACATAAATATACATGTAACCCTACAATATATCTGCCACTAAAATATGGGAAAGATGCCATAAATGAAGAATGGACACCTGGGGTTTATAGGATAACCTTGAAGAATTATAGGTTTGACAGAGATCTAGTTTACATAAGTGTTATGAAAAATTCCTCAAGCAGCATGTAAAAGAGCACAAATATGATAACAACATGAAACCATTCATAGCTCTGTCCATATATACCTTTGACAGCAATGTTGAGGTTAAACTTGACTGGACAAGGTTAATATGTTATACTCAACATAATGACCATATTAGAGATTTAGAGGCCTTGGAGATCTTTAAAGCAGGCCAGGTAGGCAACTGTATTAACCATAAAAATGAAAAAAAATTTTGTTCGCATGGAAGGCACACTTTGATCCAATCTTAACACCCTACTCCCACCCATTCACACCTTTGCATTCTTGATTAGTTCAATCATATTTATTACCTTTTTGAATTTATTACTTTAAATTTTAATTCTGCAGACATTCTGTTTAATACGTTCCATTATAGAACTTGTATTTTTAAACCTGATGCAGACCTCGGGAGGAGGTCAAAAACGTCCCTACTTCATTTAAATGTTATTACTGGAAGGACTTAGGCTTTTTGTTTTAAGTTTTGTGTCATAAAAGAGCTTTATTTTATTTGGCACTTACTTTGAGATTGATACATGCTTTTAGGGACTGTTCAAAGTATAATTGCTCNACAGCAAGAAAAATAATAAAAAGTTAGATAATTTATAAAATATAATGCAAGTTAAAGCATATTAATTTGCATTATAATATTTGCAAAAATTATGCAATAAAGGCAAAATGAAGCAACCCATAAAAATAATAATAATAAAGAATAGCAATATTTGCAAAAATTATACAATTTGTATGTGACAGTCAGGTCTGTTTGATATATTGTTGTACTAGTTTTATTTTTCATTTGGCAGCTGCCATTTTACATCTTACAAGTTAGACAATTCATTACTTTGTATGTAAATTTTCAATTTAACTTAGTAAATGTAAATGAAAACTTTCTTGAAAATGTGACATCACCATTAATGTTTACATTTCATAAATAATTATTTTTAAAAATATCCTCCATTCTGATGACTGATAATAAAGAATGTATAAAAAAGAATCCTACATACTGTAAATGAATTTATTAAAAAATGAAAAAAAAACACAAGACAATCAATATTGCTTCTGAGATTGTTTGATATCACAAAATACTGTATCCTAACATTAATATGTATATAATTCTGTGCTGTTTGTAATGTTTTCTGGGTCATTAAGCATACAGAATAGAAATTATAGCATTACAGGCAATAAAAAAATATTAAAGTTTAAAAGAAATGCTTTTTTATTCACATAAATGCATTAAAAAATAAAACATAAATTTTCTTCATCTTTCATAGTATTGTTGGTATTATATGACCAAAAATGAAAACATGGGGCACTCACGGAAGCCCATAAAAATTGATATAAAGTGTAACTAAGAATATTTCTAAACACGAGCACCCCATACTGTTGTTTTTGGTGCATAATATCAAGAATACTGTGAAAGCTGAAGAAAATTTGTTTTTTACTTTTTAGTGCATTTATGTATGTGGATAAAAAGCATTTCTTTAGAACATTTTTAATGTTTTTTTTTTTAATTCTCTGTTTTTTTAGTTGTATACCAGTATATGCAACACTAAATTATCGAAATTCTTCTTGTTTTAGCATTTAATTGGGAAGTAGGTGAAAAATTGAGTTATGAGTTACAAGATTTTATGCAGACAGTAAGACTAAAAAGGGGTAAAGGCAGTGATGACATTCGAAATATTTAACAAAGGGTTCGCTAACAGAAAATTTTTCCTTAACAATTTTTTTTTTTCGCTCAAATAGTGCATCGGAAGGCTCTAGTTTAGTAGTGTTACAGAGTATAATACGTATATTTTAATATTTTTAAAAGAATCAAACCATTGAGAAATGTTACATATGTTTAACAAGGTTCGGAAAACTTTGAAAATGTTAACAATGGGTTCGGCCGAACCTGTGCGAACCCGCTGAATATCACCACTGAGTAAAGGTATCCTAAGTATAACAATGTTATCACATTTTTGCAAATTTCAATTTTTTGCTAATTGCTAAAATTGTTTGTAAACTCTAAAAAAAATGCATCATCATCAAGAATACAGTAGACCCCCCCTATAACATGATAGATACATTCTGTGTTATATGAATTCCGTGTTGTACGAGTCACTTAAATACATGAGCCAATCACAGCCCGGCACGTTTGCAGTTTAGCGGCTACGACTGTTTGAAAGGTTTTTCCATAAAATTAATCAATTCTAGATTAATTTGACTCAACATTTCTAAATCACATATAATTTTTTGGGGAATAATCCATATAAACTATGCTATAAACAAAAATTTGTAGGATTACTTACCGAGCATGCACTGTTCAAAGATGCCATTGCTTAATTAATCAATAATTAAGCTTGTTTTCGTCGCGGAACGGCTCGTCGAACGGCAGGCGCATTTCCTGATAAGTTATTTTTCTGTGAAAAATTCACTGAACTTTGGAGACATCATTAATATAAATATAATTTTTATGGCCGTTAAGTAATAAATGGTTTTTAGTAAGTCCGCTGTTCATTTAAACTCAACGGTTTGTGCAATGTCTGCTATTGGTCCAGATTCGATCAATCCTGTCAAGACACAAGTCGGCTGTGACAATCTGTCTCATTCTTTTACCATTTTTATACAAGTCTTTTAGCATGTTATACAAACATGATTGCAATTTTTCTGCCATGTTATACAAATCCGTCTTATATGAACCCGTGTTATAGGAGGGTCTACTGTACATATGTATGCAAAGTTACAACTAGATCATAAATGGGAAGTAGGTGAAAATTGAGTTACTTTATTTGGACAGAGAGATAAATAGTGTAAGCTAATGAAATGCATATAAAGATAGCAATTCTGTCAGGGATAATGATCTTGTAAATTGAAAAAAATTTGAGACACATTAGTCAAGGTGCTTTAGGCAAAAGCCTAAATATAGCATATCACTCAAATTTAGTATAGTAATTTGCCTAAAGCATCTTGACATGACTTAAATGATCTATTATACATAAATCTTGTAAATATTATTTACTCAAAAATATTAAGAATTATATCAATTTTATATCATAATACTATACTATATTTGAGTTAAAAACATCAGACTAGATCAGAGATGGAAACTTTTTTATTCAGAAGGCTACACCTCATTTCAGAGAGATTTCATAATGCCAATGCTGTATTGCAGGTTGCATAGGTGTACACATTCAGCATATATGCAGAAAAACAGTCTACATATATTATAGCTGGATGTCTGTAGTGAAAAAATAACAGATAATTTGGAATTGCATTATGGTTAAATTGGTTTACCAGTAACCAGTTAAAAATGCATTAATAAATATACTAATAATTTGATATTTTTTATCAGTAAAGTTGATAAAAAATGGATAGATATGTAATGATGTTTTTAAGATAAATATTTATTTGAATATACTTTCATATTTATTTATATTTTTATATATTAAAGATAGAAGCATGAAATATTTTTATTTAAACCATAAACGTAATTTGTCATATATCTTTTTAATTACTACATAACAGTTCTTTAGAATTTTTAAAATATCATACTACAGCATTGTGCTGACAGTTTGGCAATTTGTTTCTTTGCTTGTAAAGTCTAGCATGAACTAGCAATTTTAGTTGAGCAACTTTTCAGTTGACAAAATGGAACACATTTATTTATTTATTTATTAGAATGTGACACTTGCACTAGCCACTTTGTAATCACTGCATGTTGTATTTTATGTGTAATAAAACTGTTGCTTATCAAAATAGAAGGGAATTCAATTGGATATAAAGTGATAGTGATTGTTTAGTTGCCAACTCACTGATGAGTCAGCAACTAAGCATTTGCTAATGTGCTAACTTTCACATTTGGAATAAAATTTACCAACCTGATATAGGTTTTGCACATTAGTGAGAAATCTATTATAAACATTTTGGTCTACATCTAAGACTTTTACAAGTGGATTTTTTCAAAATAGAATCTTTTTGGTACTAGAAATCTACTTGAAGGCGGTCTTACATGTACACTGAAAATGTCTGTAATGGATTCATCACTAATCACAAGACAAATTTTATTTTATGTCTTGTGAAATAAATTTATCATCATATAACATTTGAAGTCAAAAATTAAAAATACTAGTAAAGTTTTGAAAATTTATTATGCTACCAGTAATAAAAAAGTTGATAAATTTGCAACTCTGCAGATAATATACTTTCATGACAGTAAAATTAAAATAATAATTATCATCTGCACATCGGATTTAACAATCGGATTTTTTTTCGATTTTTAAAAAATCGTTCTAAACGAATATTTTTCGTACTTCGTTAATCTTCAAACGATTTTTGCCTGAAGATGGACCCAGGAGGGGTCTGAAAACGTTTGTACTATTAAATTTTTTATTTCGCATCGGTTAAAGGTTCTAAGGTACGTGATATTTAGTAAAATTAAACTTACACTATTTTATATTTTCTCAGGTTGTACTAGAAAGCACAAAAGCCACAGAGGTTTCACCTCAAAGCTAGAGATTTTTCAAAATTAAAAATTATATGCATTTCTTTACATGCTAAAAATTTTAGGATCAAGTTTGTTTTTGCAAATATTTAAACTAATTTGAATAATGATTAAAGTGACCCAACATTCTTAATTAGCTAGACAGTTCCACTTTTTTATATGTTGTCTCGATTTTAAAACTATTCTGAAAAATGTCTCAATTTAGGACCTTTTCATAATTATATTAAAAAAAGCCAATGTTCATTGCATACAAGTTACAGTATAAAAATTTTAATATTCATATTAAAGAAACAATAGCTCAATTGGCATTATATTGCCCAATTTATGTATCAGAGAACAGTAAATTTATACCATGTGCAAGTACCATGGTTGTGTGAATTAGTTATAAAAGAGAGTTGATTGTTTTTGCTAATTTAGTTATTTGCTGAACTATAATTAACTATTCACTGTATTTCTATAATTGTTATTTTATAAGCAAAAGTATATGGATATAAATAGTTATTTTGGGGGCTGGTATATTTATTAATCAGGTTTAACCCCTTTTTGTCCACTTTTTAAAAAAAATTTTTAATTAAACGTAAAAAATACTTAAAACTGAAAAAAAATGAAAGAAATGCGTTAATTTTGATTAAAAAGCTTCATCATTTTTTTTCCTTTGTCTCCCCTTTTCGTGAAATTTAACACCGATGAGTCATTGTTTACACATCTGGATGACCTTGAACACAGCTGGAGTTGGATTTCCCTGGACATTCTCAGACGTCTCGGGAGGACAAGGGTTTTAAAGTAGGGTGACTACTAACTAGGCCTATATTTTAAAATACTTTTAAAAAATTATAATTTTTATTGCAATTTCCGACCCCCCTAATTAATTAAACATATATATAATAAAATCTATTAATTAAAAAAATTAAAAAACTATCGGACGTCGTTTTTGACATCAGAAACTAGCTTTAAATAACTTTACCGAAGGAAAATTAGTGCACTACAACTTTAGAACGGTGAAATAAATTTGATAAAAAAGTCCCATTAAAAAACAATTAAAAAGCAATAAAGCGTAAAGCATGCGTCATTAAAGGTTGATTAAAATCGCTATATTAAGAAATGTTTACTCTTTAATCTATGGTGAACTTCATTCAAGTGTATACATTTCTTGACTTGGAAGATTATATGGATAAGTAAAATATTCATTGGTTATTTGTAACATATATCATTATTGATATAAGAAATTCATATCACTAATTATATCTTCCCTGAAGTTCTACAAAATATAAAGAGAAGAAACATCAATATGCTTTTAACTCCATTAAAGAACTTCAGCATTTTTCTGTTTATCTTTTTCTGAGTATTTTGCAGTAATGTTTTGATCATAAGTAATGCTATTTGCAAAATATTTGTATTTTTGTTTGTAGTTAGGCTAGCTTTGTAGTATTTGAATTCATCATTGATATTAAAATTTTGTGAATTTAAAAAAAATTTTTTTTTTGTCATTTTAACTATTCATCTCACTCATATATTCTTGCAAAAAATCACTTTCTTATATTGCATTATAATTGTTGTATTTTTAAATGTTTGAATTGAAAATTATACTATTTATTTTCTCTTAAATAGAATTTAAAATTTTAAATAGATAATCAGTTTATAATGTCATTTTTCCTTTTGAGAAATAACTAACAAAAAAAAAAAAAATGCACATTACTTTGATAGACCAGTTTGACAATCAATATTTGATTCCAAAGTAATTTTCAAAACTGGGTTAAACCCAGATTTTGAGAATCAGTTTTCAATGTAGTATGGAGTATCTGAGTATAGTGAACAGTAAGTTGATAAATAGTAGTTGATTTCTGATATGGACTTGTACATGAGGCAGAAAGGATTCCTCCTTATGGCACAGATTCAACATAATGCAGCCCTAAGGGCCATTATATGTTGAGTCATCAGCGTAATATGAAACTGCTCAATACAGTCGACCCCCCCCCATAACACGGGTTCATATAATGCAGATTCATATATCACGGCAAAAAAATTGCGACTGTATTCATATAAAGACGCTAAAAGAGACTCATAAAATGCGGTAAAATGTCATTGCCAACTCATGTTGGTCGAATCTGGACCAATAGTGGACGAGCAACCAAACTATTTGCACGCTACGGAGAGTTTAGGCAGATAAGTTGAGTTTACTATCGTCTGTACAGTATATAAATTAGGTACTGTAAGTCTAATACAGTACAGTAATTTTATACATTTCTTGTGAAAAAACATTTCTTATTCAACGGCCATAAAAATTATTTCTATTAATAATGTCTCCAAAGTTCAACTAATTTTTCGCAGAAAAATAACTTATTGGAAAACGTGCCCGCCGTTTGGTGTATTGCTCTGCAACAAAAACAAGCTTAAGCAATGGTGTCATCAAACAGTGCACACTCGGTAAGTAATCCTACAATTTTTTGTTTATAGCATAGTTTATATGGATTATTCCCAAAAAATTATACGTGTTTTGGAAATGTTCGAATCATATTAGTCTAAAATCGATTAATTTTATGGAAGAAAACCTTTCAAACAGCCATAGTCCATAAACTGCACATGTGCTGGGCTGTGATTGGCTCATGTATTTAAGGATTCCAACAATGTGAAATTCTTATAAAGTGGAACATATCTACCGCATTATAGGGGGGTCGACTGTATATTGATTAAATTAACTTTGCCAACATGTTACAAATCTGATTATTTTTTGTAATCTGTTTAAGTTAAAAAGAAAAATCTATTTCTAAACATTTACTTAAAGTGATGTTCTGTTTTAACTGTTAGATTAACTGTTTACAGAGTGATTTGAAAACAAATAATTTTACAGAAAAGAGTCTATAAATATTTATTAAAACTATGCCTTGCACAAACTTCCAGCATAGAAAGTTTATGTTACAAATATTTTTTGGCCTCTTTTAGGGCTACCTAAAAGCTTGGCCAGGTTCAAAAAACAATCACTGTTTTTTGAACCTGGCCAAGAATTTTAATTACAGAATGTTTTATTCATTTCCATTCTATAGATGTCATATCAATTTTAAATGATTTGTGACATTTGTCTTAAGCTGACATGGTTATCAAATGATATATATAGCAAAATATTCAAGTAACAATAAATACAAATAAACGTTTAACAAAAAGATAACAAAATAATATATATTGAATAAAAATAGTAATTAACTGAGAATTGGCTATTTATTGTTAGACATAAGGGGAATTATTGATGAATGCCTACTATCTATCAGATAGTGCATTAAATTCCTTCCTATTAACACAACTTTCTTTAAGAGTTTCATTAAATATCTCCCATTAAATATGAGTTTTTTCATTAAATACCCATCTTAATAGCTTTGCTTTATTTCATTTAAATGCATAACAACAAAGAACAACAATGAAAGATTGACCTCAGTCTAAGCTGTAAGCATATAGTTCTTGACTATGTTCTGATATTACATCCAGTGTGTGCCTGAATAACAAAATATGCTAATGTGAAAATAACATGTAGGCAAAATCCTACTATCTTATCCAATGCTAAAGATGAGATAAATGATGAGAAGACAACTGGAGTATACTCTGTTCCCATTCATGGTGGCTGCTTTGACAGAATATTAACATATGTAGGCTCCATATATATAGATCATGGACTTGCAGGGTTAATAACTTAGTAAGGAATCTGACATACTATTTGATGCATAGTGGGCATTTGTTGATAACTCCCTTAAGCATAACAATAAATAGATAGATCCTGACTGATTACTGTTTTTATTTAATATATAGGATGAATCAGAAAGACATGAAATAGGGTTTGTTTTAGGGTTATACTATAATAATGGTGTATATTTAACTTTGTTATGGTTGAAAAATTACATCAGAGATGCATTTCAAGAAATTGATACAGAAAAATACTTGTGTAAAACTGTTTGTCGAAGCATGAAATGGTGAAATGTAGATTTCAAAGCTGTGTAAATTATAATGGACAGCAGTTTGAGCACCTGCATTGATAAAATTGTATTGTATTAGTAAATATAATAGTATATGTAATCTCAATAAATGTTATCATTTACTGTCCACCTACTTTTGGTTCACCCTGCATATTATTTGTTATTTTTTTGTTAAATGTTAATTTGTATTTATTATTACTTGAACATTTTGTTATTTGGTGAATATATCATTTGGTAACTGTGTCAGCTTAAGACAAACATCATAAATCATTTAAAATTAATATGACATCTGTAGAACATAAATGAATAGAACATTTCAAAATTAAAATTCTCAACCAGCATTCAAAAAACTGATTTTGACTGGAGGCAGGTCCTTGAAAGAGGCTGAAAACATTTGTGATGATAAACTTTCTTTGCTAGAAGAGTGTGAAAAGTATAGGTTTAGTAAGTTACTCATTTTACTTCCCATATTCATCAAACCTCTATAATTATTATTTCCAAATCATATTTAAGAAAATATTTTAAAGGATTGCATGAAACTTGATACTACATTCAAAATATCAAAAACAAACTAAGTTAAGGAAACAAAATTATTTATTAAAAAAGAAACATGTTTTGAACTAATTTAGAGAACTGATGCTGAACTATCAATAAATTAGTCTGAAAATGTTTCTTTCCTAATAAATACTTTCATTTCATTATTTTAGCAGTTTATTTTTGATATTTTGTTAATTTTATGAATTCTTTTCTATGATATAGATATTTGCATCTCGTAAATTAATAATTATATAATATAATGAACTGATTTACAGAGGTATAGAGAAAAACAATCTTAAAAAGTATTTCAATCTACAACTCTCAAATGATTATTAAAATTATTTGACAATATAGATTGAAATACTATTTCAGATTTTTAAAAATATATTCCTCTAAATTATTCTCTAAATTACTTACCATTTTCTGTCAAAATTTGTTTTTTTATTATTGAGAGTTTGTAACTATTAATAATATGTCACCACAGCAAGGATATTAATGCTAAACTGATTAATGAGTGTCATCATTTAAAAGAAATTCAAAGTTAGTCACTATATAAGAAAATTTTAAGTCTTGAAATTATATATGATAGAAATTTGATTGAGGTTTCCCAAATTTAACATTTTGAAAATTTGCAACTTTATGAATAATAAATAATGTAAACTAAAACACAACTCATATCTTTAAAATGCAGTGAAAAAATTTTAATTTTCAATGTGTTCAGTTGTCTATAAATCATGTAACTGAAAGAAGGTTTTATGAACCATCGGTAATAAGAAAACAAATTTTGAAATACCAAGATAAAGGAAAGACTAAATTATTTTTTATTCTCTGTACAGAAAATGATAATACAAACTACTGTCATATGAAGAGGTAATCAAAAAGTATAAAGCCAAAAATAAAAAAAAATACAGGTGAGATAATATAATACAGTAAAATATTAGAAATATATAGATGGGTCAGACAATTCTAGATTTTATAATGTTTATTGTATTTGACAGGTTTTTAAAATTTGTACTTTGTACTCAACCAAATGACTGCTGTAAATTAATTGGATCATAAATATGCTATTATTAATTAATAATAATAATAACATATTTATAGCCCGTTTAATTAATGGTGATTATTTGATTGAGTATCAATGTATCAGGCTTTGAAAAGTTTATTATTTGTAATTTGTTATGATTTATTTTTATACCTAATTTTGTATTCTTGTTTTTAAAGAAAACCTCAAAACTTGAATAGGATTCACACTACACAAAATCTTAAATTAGTACTGCATATGAATAATACTAGAAAGCCTACTATTGTTTAAAAAAAATTTAAATTTGAAATGTAGAATCTATGTCATTTTGAAGTTTAAGCAATTTTAGAATAAAGAAAATATTAAAATTGATTCAAAAAGCTGGAACTGTGATTAACATGTGATTAACTGTAGAATTCTCAATACCATCCTTGCATTTCCAGCAAATACATTTATTAAGAATGCAAACATTTTTATCTTATTTCATAAGCCTGCATCAGGTTTTAAATATAGCTTCCAATCTGATAACATTCAAAATTGGAATGTTACTTGATAAGTGATATTATTTAATTTTTAAGATATAGAATGTCCTGTATTTCTCATGCATTCATATTTAAAAACATAATATATATATATATATATATATTGTTAAATANTATATATATATATATTATATGAGATAATATGTATTTATATCTTAAAAAATTAAATAATGTAACTTTGTCACTTATTAAAACATTATCAAATTGAAGGTGGATTGGAACCTGATGCAAGTTTATGAAATATACTGAAAATGTTTATGCTCTCAATAATTGTGTTTGCTGGAAATGCAAGGATGGTATTGAGATTTTCATGTTAAGGAAACTATTACAGAAATATTCAAACATTAAAAGCAAAACTTAAATCATATATCTTAAACTTATTTCAACATCTAAACCACCAATTAAAATTTATTTTTAAAATGAGACTTAAAAACTATTTTTTAGATATATTAAATAATTCTTTAAATTCTGTAATCCTGCATTTACAGGTGTAAAGAAACTCTTTTGGTGATTCAATGATCTAAAAAAACAGAATTTTAACTTTACTCTGGTTGATTTCAAATGCATCTTGGGTCAATTTTCATTTTGTGGTCCTTTCATCAGTAACTAACATTATTCAAAAGATTTATAAGTACAAAATGAATTTAAAAAATTACACATATAATGAAACCTTACTTTATTTTGGATTAACCATATCCTTAATTATAAAAGTACACAAACATCACATGGAATATTTTAACTGTTAATACATTAAATAAATAATAATTAACACTAATACATTAAACCATAAATATTTTAGACTGGTTTAATAAGACTATTAGTCATTAAAAGTGAACTTCATTTATAACAAAGTATAATGATATTGTATCCATCAATTTACTGTGTTTACAGAATTACCCACAATCACTATACAGGGATGATGTAATATTACTTCTTGGTAATTTGTATTCCTTCACATGTATTTAATAGATTTTCTTTACATAAACTTTTTTGATTGCTATGCTATCTTTAAATTTTCTTTTGTATATCATTGGCATGTGGTGACATTTGATGATGGGAAAGCTGTGTTTCCATAAAAATTTTAAACAAATACTGGAAATGACAAAAATAAACAGTTTATTTATTTTAATTCTAAAATAGATAATAGAGAATTAATAAAAAAAATAACATAAAATCATCTTTACTTTTTAAATCTTAAAACAATCCACTTAGTCAAATAGTTCCTTACAAGTGGCTAGTGGATAGAATTGTTGGAAGCGTTATACAATATTTTGGTGTGTAGCATCCATGAGCTAAACTGCCAGAGGTTGGTGCTCTGTAAAGAGCATGCGTGAATGCCTGTAATCTGGCTGCTTTACACGATTCAAATATTTTCGCTGTTGAAGCTATCTCATATTTGGCAATGCAGTGCATCCATTGGGATTATGCAAGTATGAATTTATTGATATATTCAAATATACAATAACAATCTTATCATTGTTTTTCACATGTAGTATAGAATTTATAATAAAATACATAATGTGGTTTTAATAAAATGTTAATTTTAATTAATTCAAAGTATGTTGAAATATGAAAATAATCACACAATATGTATTTATATTTTAGAAAATATAAGGGAAGTTGCACTTCCACTCTTCCATGGATGGCACGCCACTGTTGTATATATCATTTTCATAATGTAAGATTTTTACATCATTTTTATCTATTATGCATCCTATCTGTACTGTATGATAATACTATGGTGCTTGTTTAAGATTTATAGCAGCATACTGCTCTTTTAATATTTTTCCTAAAGTTCTGTCTATCTCTCCTATGTATTATAAAAATATAGGCATTGCCATGTACTGTACTTTACATTGCAATCTGTAAACTATACCTGCATTATTTGTTTTTCCTTTTTAATTTCTGTTCTATTATTTTTATGGAATATATATTTTAATTTATTGCATAGGGACAATACCTATGTTAAATTTCCAGATTTTATTTAAACATTTAGATAGAGTTACTTTACACCTGCAAACACAAGATTGTGGAATTTAATATATGTATAGTTGGTGATTCCAACAATAAAAGAAATATTTTTAGGTGTTGATGCCTTATCATTTTCATCATAATTTTGTATATGGTCCTATCATGGATCTTTTAGGTTTTTGTTAAGACCTGTTCCAATGTTGTGATTACCAACTTTTCTGCTATCCTTAAAAGTATGTTCTTAAATACCAAATAACCACACTTATTTTAAAATTATCTAGATTCTATATTAAATTTCTTTTAAATAATAATAAATTTTCTACAATTCTTTAAAAATTAGAAAATTAAATATTTTTGAATTTGGGTTCCTCTACATACTATTTTATTTAAAAATGAGGAGAAACCTTTTTGAAAAAGTGTTTTATGTATTTATATTTAGAAACTTCGTTTCTTTAATAAAACATAATTTGCTATTGAAATATTTAACTATTTTTGTAGGAAAACTTCTAGATCTGACTGTCAAGTATTGAATATTAAGATCATACACAATTCTACCAATTCTACCCTTGTAGATTATTTTTATGCTAGGAAAATGTATATCTGACATCATAGTTATATATATAAAACATATGAACAAAACTGGAACTGTGATTAACATGAAATCTCAACACAATCCATGCATTTTCAGCAATCAAATTTATTAAGAACTCAAATGTTTTTGGCTTACTTCATATACCTGTGTCAGGTTTTTCATGTATGATTTATGCATTCCCCCTTTTAATATGGCCTTAAATATTTGTAATGTTTTTTGTAAATATGCATAATAATTTGACCTCATTGAGATTTGCAGACATCCCAGGCTCTGTTGGAGTATCTATATTGTTCTACCAGATGTCTTAAAAGAAACAGTTAAATACAGCTCCATGTTTGCTTCTAGGGCCTCATCATCTTACATAGACAGAATAGTTTCGAACATAGGGAAAATGCTGAGGAGGGTAAAAGGAATGCTTAAAGAATTTTTTTGATAGCAAATGACATTCAAAATTACAGAAAAACTTACCAACACAGAAGAATGAACATTTTGGAAGAATACGAAAGCAAGTAAAAAATGACTGTGACAACACATAATCTTGTTAAAGGTGGATAAAAATAGAACTCTAGTTAAATATCACATCACATATATTACATAGAGCTCTAGTTAATATGTGACATCAATCATTGAATGAAAATTCTTTACATAATCTGCAAAATTGTGTTACCAAATGGACACTCATGAATTTGGCCAAATATTTGTACTTAGACCACACAGTTATGAGATTTCCAGATATCCCAAGCTATTTGCTTTTACTAAAACTCGCATATCAGACATGCATCTTCATATCATTGTCAATGACTGTCGTCAGATCGACAAGCGCTTCCGACGCTAATTATTTTCATCTTCTTCAGGCCGTTAAAACGGTTAAATTCCTTTTTTGATTACAAATAACTGACCGTTCCAAGCGTATTAACGTATTGGAATGGAAGCAACAGTAGAACATAAAATTTATTCCAATATGTTAATACGCTTGGAACGGTCAGTTATTTGTAATCAAAAAAGGAATTTAACCGTTTTAACGGCCTGAAGAAGACGAAAATAATTAGCATCGAAAGCGCTTGTTGATCTGACGACAGTCATTGGTAATTAACGCCTGTATGATAAAAAGTTTATTCTGTTAAATAGTCGGCGTGCTGTCCACTTTTGTATTATTGATAACATATCATTGTCAAAAAGGCCAGGTCACCTACTCTATTACTAGAGAAAGGGTACATGGAATGCTAGCCAAACAAGTAAAAGATTATGAATACTCAGTACAGAATCCACAGAATTTAATTACCAAGCTAACGATCAGGTTAGTAGAGGAAGAACACATCACCGTGCTTGATTTCGTCTCACTGTATTTTTCCATATGATGACAACCTTGCTTCTGTGCACTCTGAGATTTCTTATTTAATAACATTGATTTTGCTCATTTATAATATCAATATATGTTGAAATTGGCCCATATTTTATGCTATAAAACAAGTCACACATCCAAAAACAGGGACTTCCTATGGCTAGCACCCTTTCAGGGAACTTGTATGAGTTTGTAGTATGTGCACTCAAAAACTAAGTCAAAAAATTTTCTTCCTGATATCATCATTTACATCATATATGTGGACAATATACTTATTTTATAGAGGTGAGGTCTAAACCTAACAAATTTCTGGCAGTATGTTAACAACTCTTATGGCCTAACATTACATCTAGCCCAATACAAGAACACTGAAATTCATTTTTTTAGACATAAAGATCACTCTTCAGAATGGGTCCATTTATATGAAAGTTTACTACAAAATCAAACCTATCATCCATTCTTTATCCCTTTATAATCTAATGACCTATACATGTAAAACAGTTGCTTTCAAGGCATTAGTCAGAAGGGTTTATTATCCACACAATGTGTATAGACACATTGTGTGGATAATAAACCATAAAAGAAATTAAATAGCTATCACACGCAGGTGCAACAAAAAGATTATACAAAACCTGATCAAAAAATTTGAACAGAATAACATAAGAACCCAGTAGAGAGGACCAGACTGTACAATCCCATCTCCCAACAGCTATGCCTGTATAGTTGAGTATGATTCCAAGCAAAGTTCAATTTACAAATAAATAACCAAATATTCTAATAACCGCATAAGCTATCAGAAAACCAACTGTTTGCAAACTGTTAAGGACTGCTGAAGATAAAGTAAATGGCAAAAGAACACCCGAAATATGTTCCATTCCTGTGATAGATAAAATATTTAACTGACAATTGATGTATATTGGTTCTACAAATAGATCTTTAACAAGCAGACTGAAGGAGCATAAACATAATATTGATAGCAATAATCCAGAAATTACATTAGCACAATATGCAATGGAACATGGGGTGTCTGCAAATCTGAACAAAGCCAAATAAT